CTATTTATTAATTGTTATTTTGCTATTAAGGGTTATAATATAATAATTCTTTCTTTCTTTTTGTTGGACATATCTAAATATAATAATTTCTACTAAATTGCAGAATGGACCAAATGGATCATTGCAAAACAGTGGTGCAAATGACAAGGGGTATCATCCCTTGGCCTCAGAGACAAGAGTTGAGAAGTTGAATGTGATGGAGCAAGATGCACATGAGACACTGGAGAGGAGTTCTTCCTATGTGTCATCCATGGATGTGTTCTCAGAAGTTGGGAGTCCAGTAAATGGTCATACCTCTAATATAAGCACTCCCCATAATAGATCAGTGACAACCCCAAAGCAGGTTGCTTCTTTTAATGCCGACTCTTCTTCTCCAAGCTTAGAGGAAAATTCTAAGAGCAGATTCAGAAGCAGTGAGCATGAAAATTTGGATCAGGAGGGTAGTGAAAAAGTTGCCAATTGCAGAGAAAAGGGTACAGGTGTTCAAATAAACAGTAATGAAAGTGATTTTGACATCTATTCTGGAAACATTACATCTGTAGGTAGAGACTACCTCGACAATAATCCAAGATTTGGTTTGGAAACCAAAGACAACGTAAGTGAGAGATCTGAGGAAGTAGATAAAAGTCTGCAGGAGGGGGGAAGTGATGCGTATTACAGTTCCATTGAGGATAAGGATGGAAATGAATCATTGCATTTTGATGAGCTGTATCTTGTTGAAGATGAATCAATGGTGCAATATGCAAAAGACCAAGCTTTAGTGGGTAGCAATTTATATTTTTTGGGTGGGTCAGATAATGGTATGAAAGGTAGTTTTATGAAAAATGAAAGATTAAAGCATGTTAAGTCTGTAAGGTCATCAGCAGACTCAGTTAGGAGTATTGGGCCACTTGGTAACAATCATCACGCTGAGGTAAAGGAAAATGGTGTTAATGGAGATGTCCAAAATAATGGAGGGAACATTCAAAGCAGTGACAGAAAAGATGCCAAGGTTTATCCAAGGGAAGCCAGAAATGCCATTTTAGACAGCAAGATTGAACAAATGGAAAACAAGATAAAGATGCTTGAAGGAGAGTTAAGAGAAGCTGCTGCTATTGAGGCTGCTTTATTTTCAGTAGTTTCCGAACATGGAAGCTCAATGAGTAAAGTTCATGCCCCAGCTCGGCGCCTTTCCAGGCTGTACCTTCATGCTTGTAAAGAAAATCTTCAAGCAAGAAGGGTTGGGGCTGCTAGAAGTGCTGTTTCAGGATTAGTCCTCGTTGCGAAGGCCTGTGGAAATGATGTCCCAAGGTAAGCTTGAGTATTTTAGTTACTGCCTTATTTTGGGTACAATGCTTACTTCATTCATTTTCAAGTATATGTACCCGTTATCCTATCACTAGTCAACATAATATTTTAAGCACGAGTGGCTTCATCACGAGAAATTGGGGATTTATTTCTAGGTAAAAATAATTGTCTTTAATTAATTAACTTAGCAAGAAACTTTGTTTGACATGAAGAAAACATATACACTGCTCTGTTTGAAATGAAATCAAAGTTATTCTAGTCTGAATAAAAAAAAGATAATACAATATTATGTGGAAGATAAAAGGGATATACTTCATGAAACTCTCAGCTAATTGGATCATCAGATTAGATATTTTAGGTTTTTAATTATTACTGCCTATATTGGAAGTTACAGTTTCAACAGAAACTGTGCTGACTGCCGGGCAATTAACTTCTTCTTGCATCTTGATGCAGGTTGACATTTTGGCTGTCTAATTCTATTGTGCTGAGAACAATTATAAGCAAAACTACCAAAGACGTGACAACATCTAATACTTCTGGATCTAGAACAAAAAGGAAGAATGGAGAGATGAAAGTTGGAAAGGTAACACAACCACTAATATGGAGAGGGTTCTCTCCTAGGAAAAACGATTACATGGCTTTTGAGAATGGAGGTATAGGTAACTGGGATGACCCAAATGTGTTCACCTCAGCACTGGAAAAGGTAGAAGCTTGGATCTTTTCTCGCATTGTGGAATCTATTTGGTGGCAGGTAACGCTTTCATCCCATACAAAAGGCTTAAGTCCCCATATGAGCTCATTATTAATATAAAATAGTCCCATTGGCTTTTAACATGGATCATTCTTTCTGTGTCCAGTCTTTGACTCCATGTATGCAGAATTCTGATGCCAAGGTCACTCGTAAAGATTCTTCAAAAAACTATAAAAATATGTCTGGCTCATGTGACCAAGATAAGGAAAATTTATCGCTAGATATTTGGAAGAATGCTTTTAGAGAAGCCTGTGAAAGGCTATGTCCTATCCGCGCTGGAGGGCACGAGTGTGGTTGTTTGTCTGTGCTGCCTAGATTGGTTAGTATATATCTATCCGTTTCCCTCTTCCTTTCCTTCAATGTTTTTAGGCTAAAGGTATTGAAGTTTTTCATTATAGTACCTTTTTGTATTGTCCCTTTTCAATTGTCATTTATCTGTAGGTTTAGTCTGCATGGTAGCTGAAGAGCTTTGAAATGTATGATTATGTAAACAAAGAATAATGAGTGCGTGTATTTTTCACTGGAGCATAGTGCCTCCTACTGACTGTTAACAGGAGAAAAAGGGGGAGAAAAGTATGTTTTCTGCAAATTGCTTAAGCTGAAGCCAAAATATTTACAACTCCTCTAAGATGTGAAATCCCCCAACTTTCCCGACAAACTAATATCTTTGAGTATACCAATCTATGTATCTACGTCTTGTCGTCAGATTATGGGACAAAATTGACATTAGACTGCATTTTGTTTTTACTTATTCCAGATAATGGAGCAGTGTGTGGCAAGATTGGATGTTGCTATGTTCAATGCCATTCTTCGGGAGTCTGATGATGGTATTCCAACAGATCCTGTATCTGATCCCATTGGTGATCCCAAGGTTCTCCCCATTCCACCCGGTAAATTGAGCTTTGGATCTGGTGCACAGCTAAAAACTGCGGTAATATCTGTGATCTCAACAAATTTTTATCTGAACTAGAACGTGTGGCTCTGTACTAGTGAATGTAATTGCAACCTACTGTGATAGACTCAATTTACTTCTTTCCTTTCTGCTAATATCTGTTTCTTGAATGTAACTCTAAAAGTGGGCCTGGAGTATGACTTTTTGGCTTGGAGTTAACCACTACTACATTGAGCAATTAGAAGTTAACTGCTTTGCAGCAAAAAATGAAAATAAAGAATGATTTGAATATGCATATGTTCAATATAACATCACTGGATATAAATTGTTTCGACTGAGTAGTTATTTTCATTTGTGTTCTGGATTTCTCAGATTGGTAACTGGTCTAGATGGCTAACTGACCTATTTGGTCTGGATGATGATGATTCACATGATAGAGATGACGATGACCTTGACAGCAATGATGGAAGTCAAAATTCATCCTTCAAATCCTTCCATCTTCTTAATGCATTAAGCGACCTTCTAATGCTTCCTAAGGATATGTTGTTAAATGCATCCATTAGGAAAGAGGTTAGCCAATGAACTTGTGTTTTTCGCCATTTAATTAACTTGCTACGTGTTTCTTCCTCATTCTTTCATCATTGTTTGTGAAGGTGTGCCCAATGTTTACTGCACCTCTAATCATGAGGATACTAGACAATTTTGTCCCAGATGAGTTTTGTCCTGATCCAATTCCTGATGATGTTTTTGAAGCTCTGGACTCACAGGTTAGATAAATAAATTTGCAGTTGTTATTTTGTTCTCGTTATTTATTACTAACTCCGACTTTTACACTGCCTAATCTAGTAGTTAAGTTCGTTTAATCTTTTTGTTTTCATACAATAAAGAAATCTTTTTCCTAAATTACCCTCAAATTATATTAATTGAAAATGTTTAAGTTTGAAAGAGTATCATTAAATCAAGTTTAGGGAATGAGATATGCTTATAGTTAAGTCTACCAAATATGACCAACCTTTTTCTTATATTTGAGTAATATAGGATTCTAGTTTGATACTTCGTATATGTGCATCACGAAAACAATGGATAAATGAAATTGACATCTCGTGATATGTTCATGGTTTTTTATCCGATGTTTTATGATTAAGCTATCAGGAATTCCAAATTTGGCTTATGGTCTCTACATGTGCTTTTAATTTGAAGCAGGATGATCTTGATGATGGAAATGAGTCTATCAACAATTTCCCATGCATTGCAACTCCCATTGCATATTCACCTCCACCAGCAACTACCATTACAAGCATTACGGGTGAGATTGGAAGTGAGTCTCAGCTTAGAAGAAGCAAATCTTCCATTGTTAGGAAGTCATACACGAGCGATGATGAACTCGATGAACTAAACTATCCATTATCTTTGATATTGAATAGTGGCTCCTCACCAGCATCAACAAAGTCCAATTGCAAGTGGAAAGAGAGTCGCGATGAATCTGCCATTAGATTTGAACTTCTTAGGGATGTTTGGATGAACAGTGAATGAGTGACCACAAACTAGATCTCACCCTTTTCCTGTTACATTTCATCGGTAGCACTGTGTAAAAAGCAATATATGTATTCTAGGTTTAACAGAACGAAGACACCGACTACTGAAAAACGAGATGGTGGAAATGACCAGCGTATAATAAATAATGTTCAGTCATTCTTTGGACCATACAATAAGGTCATGTGAGATTAAGTTCTGAAGCGCTTGTTAATGTAGTTGATTTAAGATGCTCATTTTTGCATGTTTTGAATCTGGGCTTGAAAGACCCAAGAAATTCAAACACAAATTGCCTATAAAGGTAGCGGAAAATTTTGAAGGCTTAAATATTAGTAGTAGCAGTTAAGAACCGAAAAGCAAAAGGCAACAAATAAATAAACGAAAGCAGTTTTGCTGAACCCCATTAGCTGTATATAGCGCTTTAAAAAAAACGAACATACGACATTTAAGAGTCCTTAACTTTTACATGATATGTTTGGTGTATAACGTGACTTTGAGACCAGGAAAAATACTAGAGAAAAACCTATTATGGGATAATTGAACAAAAATAAAGACAACACATCCACTAGAAGGATTTAGGACCATACATTGGGTATTGATTCATACTTCTGAACTTTTGCGCTACAGAACAAACTAGCATTCTCAAAATTTTGCAAAACAATCAATATAGAAACCGACACAAAATTTCTACGAAATTGTTGTAGTCCTCATATTCACATACTAAAATGCCGACAACGGATTGATGCCATAGAAGATTGGTGGCCCTTCACGCCGTTAACTTCTGTGAAGAACTAAGAGCATTAATATGCTGAAGATGTAGCGCAGCTAGAAGTCCCTGCCAGGTTTCACCATGTCCACCTGCTAATTCAAAGTTCAGAAGTTTCTTCTGCTTCCTGTAGTAATCTTCCAATAGCTTGCACTAGAAGAGAAAAATAAAACCCCAAAATATAAGTACAAGTACCAAGTGATTAGTATCTCAAACAAGCTTAGCACAACTTGAATTAGTATGGGAAACTTAAAAAATTGAAAGAAAAAAAAAACCCATTTCCTTAGACAAAACTAATCTATAAAGGCATCATATGAAAATAAGTGATTAGTTACCTCGTCTTCATGACTTTGATTATCATCAGGCAATTGTTTCGTTGGGTTCCTGGAGCTGGTCATAAGAATATATTCTTGGCGAGAATTAAATTTTCGATTTCCAAAATTCTTTTTAACTAATTCCTCTTGGGAACTTTTGAAGTTCACCACCAGATCAACATGAGCAATGTGATCAAGGATCTCCTGTGAAACATCACCACATTTTGTAGGAATGAATAAAAAAGAAAATTTTGAGCTGTTTACGATTAGAAAGGTGAAATGAAACAACTTACAGCTTGGACCCTTGTTCGAGGGAAACCATCAAGAATAAACCCAGTTTCACCTCTTGAGTACCCATCGTCCAGTCTCTTCTTTAGCAGCCCAAAAATAATTTCCTGTGGGACAAGTTTTCCATGATCTAAAGCATTTGCTATCTGCATTGGAAGAACCACACGTCACACCGATATTGATTAAGAAAACAATTTTACTACCCATTATCCTATTGTATGTTTAGACCACAAGAAAAAAGTAGGAAAAATGTTGATCGGTAACGATATATTTTCTTTGGTTTAGTAAAAGAGAACGGAAGTAAAAGTTCATTTTTTTTCTTTCACTTAACTTGGAATTCAAAATTTGTTTCGCAGTCTCTATTACAATATAAAAACACAATGACAAACTATAACGTAACGTAGATTTATCAATTTTAATAGTAATTATCTAACAGTCGTACCAAAATAATTTCTGACAATATAAAATGATTTCACACCGTAATTACGTAAATTATTTATTTAATAAGCAAGCTTAAAAATATCAGTATAACTTAGAAGGATTCAATCCCAACTTTCCGCATAACAACAACCTTAACAACATATTTAGTAATAATAATATTACAAAAAAAAAGGTCAAAAAAATAAGAACCATTCAAATTGAATTTAGACACATCCTCCCAACACCCATAACGTTTAAAATGCAAGCTTAGTGCGTGCTTGGACTCCAAAATTGGTTTTGTAAAATTAATTTACCATATATATGTTTAAATATTGTTATTCAGAGCAAATTTATTTAAAGTTGCTTAAAAATTTAAAATAATTTCTAAAAATATAAAGTTCTTCGATATGAAACCAAACGTGATCAGAAAAACAAAATCACGTTAGTTCTAAAACCACTATGTACAACTTTACTTACCTAATTTTTCCTTAATTCGACGAGATTATCACCATTAATTTTAATTAAAAACAAGAGAAATGAGTCGAAAGAAATAATTGAAAGACCTACGAAGAAATGAAAGTAAACTGAAGGAAAAGGAGAGAGGAAACCCTAGAATGGAATAGTGAATGAATGAATTACTTGGTGATAGAGGTAGGAGCGAGGGTTGAGGTCCTGGCTGAGGAGCGTAGCCATGGAAATGTGAGGAACTTCTAGAAGCTTCGAGAGCCTCTGCGCGAAGAGGTTCCTCCTAGCTCCAGGCTCCCCTATCATCACCCACTGCACTCCGCGCTCCGGCTTGCAACCGTGTGCGTCAAGCATGCCGCGTGCCGCGCACTCCTCTTCCTCGTCATCCTCGTAGTAGCACTGTGCAGCGGCCGCCGATCCAAACCCCCGGTTACACCGGAGCACGAGGGCCCTCAGCGGCACCGCGGCGACCCTGAGTCGTGCGATTGCGGCCATGGCGGCGACGGAGGCGTGTTTTTCGTTACTGAGGTTTCGAGAAAGAGAATGGTAAAGGGTTCGCGATGAGGAGAAACAGAGAACCCTGGAGCTGAGGTTTTAAGAAGGAATTTTCTTACTGTTATTTGAGGTTACGAAAAAAACACTGTTTTGTTAATTAATTACGGAGGATGCCACTGGTGTCGCCTGCCGGGAGCGAGGACTATTTGCCACGTGATTGAAGGTGATTGGTAGCAGCGGATCTAGTGTATGCGGGATCACCGAGTTCCCTTTCGGCAATTAATCCTAAACGTTGGGTGTTGTGGCAAGTGAGTGAGACATCTTTAATTTGAGTTGGATCCAATTTGATATTTGAATATCTTAGGATGCCTTCTCAAATATAACTCTTTTCATGTCTTCCAATAAAGTATTTTTGATAAGTTTTCTTATTATTTCTTAGCTTTTGTATGGAATTCATCTTATGTTAGAACAAAAACCTACTGAACAGGAACTAAATTAGTGTAAAATTAAAGCAATATAAGTGAATTTAAAATAGCATATTCTAGAGTTAAATATTATCTTATTTATTATTATAATCAGAATTACCTTCGTTAAAATATTGTGAACTTCACTTCCTACTTAAAAGACTTTACACTTTGTTTTATGCTTTTTTTACAATTTTTTTAATTAATTTATTAAATATATCTAAAAATATATTATGATTTTGTGGTTATTTTAGCTTTGAAATACACTAGTTGACATTTATGATTGAAAAAGTATTTTTTTTTATGTATAGTTCCTCTAAAAAAACTTGTAAAGACACCTATAAATTTTATATGATCATATTTATAGAATCTTTTATATTTTTAATGGCATATTTCTTTACTAATTTTATCTTAGTAAATGTTTTTATAGCTGTTTTGCTTTATAAATTCGTAATAAATATTAGGTTGATATCCAAACTTGCGATGAATAATTCTATTGCGTTATTTCTATTATTGTACTAAAATCAACTTATGATTATAGTAAAATGTATAATTATTACAAATATTTAAGGTGTTAAATTTACACAGAAAAAGTTAAATATTTATACTTAAGAATAAAATAAGTATGTTACTCATGACATTGTTATAGTTATTGCAAATATTTCAGGGATTAAATACAATAATCATAAAATAATTATTTTTGTAGCATCCAAAAAATACAGTCTAAAACTATATGATAGAATACTCACATTGAATAATATTACAGATCAGTCTTACATTAAAAGAGAAGTACGCTTGTGGCCGAACGGCCTACAGCAAGAACTAGAAACTTAAAACTGTAAAAGATAAGCAATTTCGACCGCACGGTTTACAAAAGGATTATACCGAACGGTCTTACAAAAGAAAAAGGAAAAGATGATTGAACGATCATCTTAAAACATAACTAATATACTGACCGAACATTTCTACTGTTCGGTCTTAACTTCTACCTCAACTAAGTTATCTTCCTCCAGCGCCTTTTCCAGCAGCTCGTTTCCTTCTGCTCACATCCACATGGATGATCATTGCAACAGAAAGACAAACAAACGTACAAAACAGACAAGACAGGAAACATAGGGTAAGCTTATGTAATTCAATTCATGTATAAACATATATTTCACACAATCAACCAAACAAGATAATTCATCACTCGTTCATCCAAAGCCTAATACTAGACCGACTGTCCGGACTGTATGAATTCTGTGTAGCTACGACGTTCGTGCACACGGGTGATGTAGTAAATGGGATACCCTCAACAGCTACCACCCGAGGTTAGTCCTATCTGTCCAAATTAACCATAAGGACTAGGACCTCCTAACATTCCCACACATGACTTACCCTTCTCTACGTGAGAACGAGTAATCACGGAACATCAGGATGAACCGCCAGCTTAGCATGCCCACATTCATACTTTACCAAATTCTAATATTCATTCATGAGATATTCCTCCCTGTAATACTCGTTCATAATTATACTCATTTCATCTACGTCATATTTCCATCATCTTCCATTTTCAAACTTCAATTTTAACTAGATCACTTAAGATACCAAATACCGAACGTACAACTTTAACCCTTAACGAGACCGAACACTTGGACTGAGACCGAGAGGTTTCCCAGTTCCAGAACAGATCAAAACCGAGAGAGAATTACCATCGGGGTTGGGAAGAGACCAAGTTCAATAATAGTTCTCAAGATTTAAAAGGATCGAACGTTATTTAAAAAGTGAGTCAATTTGATGAACTGACTCATGAGAGTTTAGACTGAACACCTTAAAGCCTAGACCAAGTACTAAGACTCTAGGCCGAAACCAATGGAGACAGACACTACAAGACATTCAAATAATACTACTTAAAAGAATCATATGAAGAAATTGAACGCTTATAAATACTTAGCTTATTTATAAATTTATCCTCAAGAAAACCGAATGTCAGTCAAAAACCGAGCACGGTAGAGGGTGAACACCATTGAGTTTGGACGAACGCTATTTTCATCAAGGTAGATTATAGAAAAGAGAATGAGCGCTTGGTGTAAGACCCAACACTAAATAGTACGAGCGCTTGGTGAAAGACCTAGCTCTAAATCGTACGAGCGTTTGGTGAATATAAGATATCATTTGACTAATGTTCAATAACAAACGAACATAATACTAGACATATATACTTAAATTTATATATACTAAGGGGCAGTGACATCGAGGTTGTCCTCTTGCATGATATGAACCTGCACCATGGAAAACCCCAAATGGATGAAAATGGAGACTCAGGGGAGGGAACAGTGGTGGGTATGAAAGAGATGAGCGGAAGTTTTGAGTGATTGGGAGAGAATGGGTATGAAAGAGATGAGCGGAAGTTTTGAGTGATTGGGAGAGAAGAAGGAAGGGTTTGAGAAACGTGAAAAATACTTAATCTCATTTCAGGAAGAAAAAAAAAGCAACATGGCATACACTTATGAGGGAAGTTGACATCACACGTGGCTCACTGTTGGTCATCTCACAAAAAATCTAAGGTCGTTACTTTTTAAGGACTAAAAATACGAGTTTCCGAACTAAGAGGACGAAAATGAACAAATCTTTCGAAGAGGAACAAAACCTAAAATAGCATGATAGTTCAGAAATTAAAAACATATTTAATCCTTTTTAAAATTGAATAAAAATGATTGAAAAACTATTGTATAGTTCACGTTAATCAAAATTTATAACAAAAATAACATATTATCATTTTATTTATAATATATATATATATATATATATATATATATATATATATATATATATATATATATATAAATATTTCCACCTATACTAATCAAAGATATACTAATCATTACTAGGAATCGCAATTTTGAGGACTTTTGTTTCACAAAAGTTGAAATCCAATCCATACTTTGTTATCTGAACGAAAATTATATAAAAGTTAAATCCAATCCATCACTCAGCATTGCATCTCCAAATTATATAAACTAAAATAAAATAACTTTTAAAATTTTTGTTTCCCGAAAATCGTGATTCTTATATATGAAAAAGAAAAATATGTAATATAATGAGTATGCCAAAAATATTTGGGGACCATATGTATGTTATACATAAAATTATCGTGATGACATATTTTTGTATTTTGATTACATTAAAATAACTCATTTTTAAGAAAATAAATAATTTTAAAAATATATTTATGGGGATCAATTTTACATGACAATATAAATGTTATTTTTTATTTTTAAAATATAAAATTATTAATGAAAAATAGTTATAGAAATATGTATCTAATGGTATAGATGAATCATTAAATAAAATGGTAATAAATTTTAGAATGTGATATTAGCATATTAAGAAGGTAGAACAAAATCATGGTAGACTTTGGGATCTAATGGTTGTTGGTGGAGCAGAAAGAGTAATGCACTTGTGAAGCTGAAATCTGGGAAATTGATGGATTCTTATGTGGATACGTGGGTGGTCAGTAAGAAAGAAAAATTAGCCTGCATTTGGCCAAGCTGATGCCACGTACGCGAGTTCCCTGGTAACCGATACAATGTTTTTCTGTCTTTTTTAATTCTTACGACAACTTTTTTTTTTTGTTAAATTATTTTTTTCCCTCTAATTCTTATAAAATCTTATAAAATATTTAATTATATTTCTAATTTTTATTTAATTTAATTTTTTTTAAATGATCTAATTAGTTTCTTGATGTTCGATTTTTATAAAATGTATACTCTATCTTAAGAATTTAAATATTAAAATTAATTTTATCTTTTATGTGGAGTGATTTGAGTGATTTAACATATGTATGGTATGATTGTTTAATCAGTTACAAATTGGACGTTAAATGTTTTAATCAGTCATCATCAAAATCGAACCTGTTAATGGTCAAGACAATTAATCTTAATGTTGGAAAATTTAAGGTAATGTGTAATTATCACCAATTGGATCGTAACTAATCAAAATTTCATTCTGAAATTTATAAATATAGGTTTGAGATAAGAACATAGGTAATTGAATTTACTATACCGTTAATATTTGAATTGTCAAACCTTTTATTAGTGTACTCCAAATGATTTGAATGAACGATTAGATAAAACTTGTCCTTGAACTACTTTCTAGACGTTGGATGCTGATTTCGATCTTACATCTCAAAACATTTTGCCTCACACCTTATAGCTTGTAGAAAATGTGTAGCGAATATTTAAAGCGTAGACAAAAGAAAAAAAAGGAGGTGAATTGGTTCGTCTCAAAAAATGGCTTCCTTTTAACATATTTCCAATTTAAAAATTTCTTTAACGGATTGGCTATGGTACGGGGCCGCGTGACGTGATGGAGTGGGAGCCTAACGGATTGCCTGTAGCGAGATGATTGGCAGAGGGATATTTCTCTATTTGCTGCCTCTTTTTCGTGGCCTTTAGAAGCGCTTTGTTGGTTTCACGTGCTGGCGAGGAGGCCTTTCTGCTTTGGCGTTACTTTTGTTTTTTTTTTGTTCCTCTGCTAATTTTCGTGTAATGTTAGAAAGAGAGGAGAAGTGGGACCAGCAGCCTTGATTGGCCAAATGGAAGAGAGAGTCAGCATAGAGGGTTGAAAAGTCAAAAGTGA